GCTTGAAGCATTCAGGGCCTGGGACACCGCAGACCCGGAGCCACTCAGGGGCTGCTCTTCAAGTAGCTCTTCAAGTCTGCAATAAAAAAATGGCCTCCAATTAAACTAGATTGCAAAGAATGGTAAAGAAGGAGCGCCTGGGTGGCTTAGTCAGTTAACCATCTGACTCTTGATTTCGACTCAGATCATGACCTCAGGGTCATGAGATCCAACCCCGATTCGGGGTCCACGCTGGGCATGGAATCTGCTTAAGATTCTCTCTCTCTCTCTCCCTCCCTCTGCCCCTCCCCCTCCCTCGCTGGAAAAAAAAAAAAAAGGGAAAGAAAGAGAATGGAAAGAATAAAAAACTAGAAGAGGCAGAGCCTGAGGAATCTGTGGTGGAAAAAGTACTGGACCACTGGGTAGTGAAGGGGAAGGTGGAGTATTTCCTGAAGTAGAAGGGAACTCACAGATGCTGATGATACTTGGGAACTTGAAGAAAATTCAGATGGTCCAGAGTTAATTGAAGCATTTCTTAATTCTCGAAAGCTGGTAAAGAAAAAGATGGTACCAAAAGACAATCTTTATCTGACAGTAAATCTGATTATAGCTCATCAAAGAAGAAAAGAGATGTTGCTGATGAACCAAGAGGCTTTGCCAGAGGTCTTGGTCCTGAACAAATAATTGGTACCACAGACAGCAGCGGAGAATTCAAGTCTCTCATGAAATGGAAAGATTCAGATGAGGCAGACTTGGTGCTGGCAAAAGAGGCAAATAGGAAGGGTCCTTAAATTGTAATTGCTTTAAAAAAAAATTTTTTTTTTTAAGTAGGCTCCATACACAGGGTATAGCCCAACATGGGGCTTGAACTCATGACCCTGAGATCGAAACCTGAGCTGAGATCAAGAGTCAGGTGCTTAACCCAGGTGCCCCCACTGTAATTGCTTTTTAAGATTTTTTAAAAATTTATTTATTTGAGAGAGAGCGAGAGCTCCGAGGGGCAGAGGGAGAGGGAGAAAAGCAGTCTCCCTGCTGAGTGTGGAGCCTGATGTGGGGCTCAATTCTATGACCCTGAGATCATGGCCTGAGCCAAAATCAACACTCGGATGCTTAACTGACTGAGCCACCCAGGTGCCCCTGTAATTGCTTTTTATGGAGAGAAACTAGGCATTCTTGTCCAGAAGATGAAGCTCAATAATTGCTTGTGTTGCTTTACATATTTATAGATATATAAATAAAATCTGGGTTTTGGTTTTTTTGATTTATCAGTGTGAAGAAATAACATTCTAATGAAAATCAACTTTGGTATGTTTGTTTTGAAGTAGTATTGGGGGAATTGTTGGGGATTTTTGCATCTGTAGCACCGGTTACTTTGAACAAATAAAAGCTTTCTGTAGTTGCTTCCTTTATCAGAAAAGAATATTTGAAATCACAGTAAATTATTCCCCTGCTTTAGAAAACACCTTTTCTAAATGTCGGGGCAGGGGCGCCTGGGTGGCTCAGTTGGTTAAGCATCTGCCTTTGGCTCAGGTCACGATCTCAGGGGTCCTGGGATCTAGCGTCATGGCAGGCTCTGCGCTCAGCAGGGAGTCTGCTTCTCTCTCTCCCTCTGTCCTTCCTCCTGCTTGTGCTCTCTCTCTCTCAGGTAAATAAATTAAATTTTAAAAAATGAATAAATGTTGGGGGAAATCTTCATATTTGTTACTCAATCAGAATTTGTGTATAAATCCTATATGCTTGAGGACCATTCTGGGTTTTTTGTTTATTTGGTTTGTGTGTGTGTATACTTAAAATACGTATGTAAATGGTTTTCTTTTCTTTTCTTTTTTACCAGTCACCAAAACAAAAACAGCATTTTATAACCATGGATAAGCCTGTGTTCTAGGATGCCATCATTTTCAGCAGTCTAAGAAATAAATCACTTAAAGATAGATTTTTCCTGAAGCCTTAACCTTTCAAATTTTGTAATTAATTGGACAATTTAAATATAATGTAAATAATTTAAATTGGACAATTTAAAAGCAGCCATATCCATATCTACAGTCATATAAATGCAAGTTCATTTGCAAGATCCCTGAAAGGAAAATATTACTACTGCCAACAACTTCCCCACCCAAATGAGAAAACTAGACAAGTCCTGGTATGTTTTAGTTGGGTAACAAAACCTAGTTAAATAGACATTTAAAGGTTCCTTCTAGTGAACCATTCCTTTTTAAATTTTTTTAAAAATTTACTTATTTGAGAGAGAGAGAGAGAGCATGAGCAGGGGGAGGGGCAGAGGGAGAAGCCGACTCCCTGCTGAGTGAGGAGCCCAACGTGGGTTTCGATCCCATGACCCTGAAATCATGACCTGAGCCAAAATCAAGAGTTGGATGCTTAACTGACTGAGCCCCCCAGGTGCTCAGAACCATTCCTTTTCAAGAATTTGAAATCCCTGTGCTGTATTGACTAAAAGGTCATGATTCATGGAATGCCTAAGACTTTGTTCATGGAAACTTAATCATAATCAGATGGTTAGAGATGTTGGCAATTTAGGACCTGCAGGAATAAATGGGTGAACAAACTTAAATCTAAATTCTCGACCTGCTTGTTTTTTCTTTACCCCAACTCATTTCTTACATGTGGGCTCAATCTTCTCACTATTTGAGTTACTGTTTCAGCATAAACCAGGGAAAACAGTAACTTGCCGGTCACAATGTTATCCGGCTGCATATTGTTTATTGTAAATACTGGTAAACAGTGGTCAATAAGGTTTTATATTTAAAAAAAAAGTGGTATTAAGTGCTATGATGAAGAACAAAACAGGGCGAGGGAGGTCCAGGGATGCTGTTTTGCAGAGAGTGGCCAGGACGTAAATGTCAGCTATTACTATTATTTCATTACATTACATTTCTAAACCCTTTTGCTGAGAGAAGAAAAATAGGACAAGTGAGAGGAGAGGGAGAAAGGGCAAAAGGAATTAAAGGAAGCTAAGTGAGACAGGAGTGAGGAATAGAGAGTGCATTGAACAGGATGAACAGGAAAACCAACAATGAGGAGAAGAAAGAGAATAGTTGATGTTATAAGCTGGGGGTGGGAGGGAAGAGGAAGGAAAAGCTAGAATGGAACTCAGAGAATAATATTGCTCTTCAGTTGCTCAATGGACTTGAAAATGTTTAGCTTTGGGATGGGTGAGCCAATGGAGCTTTCAAGACATTGTTCTGAGGGTAGGACTAGTGATATAATTTGCCAGACCCAAGGCAAAATGAAAATGCAGGCCCCTTTGTTCAGAGATTATTAAGAATTACAAGGTGGAGATGGCAGAGCATTAAGCCAAGAGCACGCACATAGGTCACATACTGATGAACCAGCCCTGTCTAAGAGCTTAGCACACAGCCTGGCACACAGCAAGCATTCAGTAAAAATAAATGGTCGTTGAATGAACAGAACCTAGGGCTAATTACTTTTGAACTTCTCTGAGGACTGGCTCATATTTCAGAAAAACTGACTTTATTTGGCTCCAATTTCAAATTTCCTTCTATTGTTCTCCACCACGGGGTCCAGATCTTTATGGAACAACACACTCCTGGACATGGTTTTTGCGGCAGGAATCCTCTTGTGGCCTGGCTGGGCTTGGTTCATATCCTCTTGCACTTACAGAGTGTGGCCACTTGAGGTCACTGCACCAACAAGGCAGAAGTTAAAGGACTACCCCAAAGAGTGAGGGGCTAAAAGGCACCACTGGTGGAAGGGTTAGTTATTAAAGCCTCTCCTTTACATTTTGATACAGTTCTACAGTTATATAAGTAGGGCTTTTAAACTCCGTAGGAAGCATCTGAAAGATGTTAGCCAAGTCTTGAGACGATGAAGATCAGGAAGTCAGCTCTAGGGTTCCCAGGAGTGGGGAGGGGCGTCATTCTTTAGAGATGTCCCCTACCTTATGAAACATGGTTTCACCGCATTCAAGCTTAACATCAGAAGTATCTGCAGGTGGATCATTCACTTAACAACTATTAACTGGGCTGGACAGCCAACAAAACAGACATTGTTCCTGTGCCAGGAAGTGGAGAGAGACGCAGCGATCTGTTTACCACCACAATATGTGCCTCAGAGGAGGAGCACTGCCTCCAAAGGCAACAAAGAGGCACTTGACTTCTCTGAGATCTGGAGGGATCACTTAAGTGGATCTGGAACCAAGAGTCTAACCTCAAGGACATGGTCCTCTTTCCTCCTCTACAACAGAAAACAAATTTCAGGCAGTTTCCACCTATCGAGCATTCAGAAAAATGAAGTTCAAGTTCAGAAAATCCTGATATAAAACCAGGATACTTGGTTAATGATTAGGAAAAAGAACATTTTTGTGTCTGGTTTTTATTTGTATTTTATCAAAGAGGAAGCTAAATTCAGGGCTTCCTGTTTAAAAATTAAATGTCTGATAGTCCTGGTCTCTAATGCTAATGTTGATTGAGCTCTGGGCTAGACATTATGCAAATACTATCTCCTTTAATCCCCACACAACTTGGTGAGCTAGGAGCTGTTATTGTCTCTAATTCACACTTGAAGAAACTGAGGTTTAGACAAGCTAACTAGCTCTCTGGAGGCCCAACATCTAGTAAAAGATGAGCTGGAATTTGAACCCAAGCAGTTAAATGCCAGACCAGGGCCGCTGCTTTCTACGGACTCCTTCTGAGGGACGAGCTTTGCCAAGGTTGGTTATGAGTCTGCAGACAAGTGGCTCAAAGTAGAAGTCATTAGTGACAAAGAGTGTATTTACAGGTTAAATCCTTACTTTGATGGTTAGTTTCCTACTGGACACAGAATGCATCTCTTGTCCTGCCAGTCTTCCTGGTTTACATTTTTCCTCCCAGGAGTCCTGAAGTGAGATTTTGAGTGGATCTCTGGAAGTCAAAATCTACTGACCGAAAAATAACCCAATATGCATGTGCAATCTGCCTGTGTGTGCCCCACAACCCTCCAACCTCTTTAGACCAGACTGGTTAAATCATCTATCTCATGGGTAAAACAACATTGGAACATGCTTCTTGGCTGGCTTTTTTTATTAATGGGAGAAACAAGAACTGGTTAATAGCTCCATCTTCTTCAACTCACTAGCTCTGTGGCCTTGGACAAATGACTTAATTTCTTTTTCTTTTTTAAAGATTTATTTATTTATTTTTGAGAAAGAGAGAGAGAGCATGCACAAGTGGGGGGACGGGGCGTAGGGGCAGAGGGAGAAGCAGACTCCCCACTGAACAGGCAGACTGACGTGGGACTCAATCCCAGGATCCTGGGATCATGACCTAAGCCAAAGGCAGATGGTTAACGGATGGAGCCCACCCAGGCGCCCGACAAATGACTTAATTTCTGTTAAGTCTGTTTCCTCATATTAAGCTGGAGATAGTGAAAGTACCCCCATAGGTTTAAATTAGACTTCAGTAAAATTAGTAGTAATTAAATTCCCAGTTAAATTACTGATTAAGTTAGTAAAGATTAAATTAGATGATATAAAGGACTTAGCAAGTAGTGTTCAATATATAGCTATTGTGGTTTTTATTTTGGCCTATAGCTGAAATTCTTTATATTTTAGAAATGTATCACTTAGAATAGAATTAGAGTAGGCTTCTTTTGCGCATTTATGTATTTGTTATATCTATGCCTGAAGTTAAAATTTATATAGTTATTTAGAACATTTAGCTTTAAATTCTTAGCAAAAAACTTCAGGTGCTAACGGAACTGTCAGCAGTCACAAAGGGAACCAGCAAAAGCTGTTTCAGAAGGAGAAGTATATGGACTTCCTTCTGTCTTGACTTGAATTGAGGGGGAGATACTGCTGCTTCTATTGAAGTAATCTCTATGGGCAGGTGTTGAAACAGGCCTGGAGTGAGGACTGCCAAAGCAGGGCTGGCTTCCCAGACTAGGGGCTGGGTTTGGGTAGATGATGTCAGGATTGGTGAAGAGAAGAGGAGAAGGTCTTGGGTAATGAATGCTCAGGAAGGGAATGTTCCATCAGGAAACAGTCGCCAAATAAGAAGGTGGCCTGCACCACTTGCCCTGCTCTCTTCACCTTGCTTTACTCTTCAGAATAATGAATTCTGGCCGTGCACATCGGCTGAGCTAAGATGGTCTGCCATTTCCTGCAGAGAGAACTGGCTTCCTCTTCTCTTTGTAGGAAGATATAAAATTTGTCCTCATTTCATATGTTTTGGGGCTCGATTTTCAAAAGGTTTATTTTCTTCTCTCAAGAGCCGAAACTGCAATTCAGATGTGCTAACACCAGGTGCCTCAATCCTTGTAGATGCAGTCAGCTAAGAAAAAAATTCAGTTTTTTACTACTCAACAGAAACCATGGCATGAAGGTCCCAAACAATGGGGTCCAGGTACTGGGTTTGGCTTGATTCAAGGATAAAATTCAACCATGTAAAAACAAAAGTCCATAAATATTGTTTCTTGAATTGAAGCCCTTGATAAAAGTGGGCATCATGGAATTTGAGGTACACATTTGTCTGTTATTACTACAGATTTCTATTAAGGCAACTGAGTACAACCATGTAAAATGTTACATTTGATGTCAGTATGTAAAGAGCAAATTTGAAAAAACTAACTTTTTACAATTTAATAATTGTTTTAATTCCAAATTGTTACCAATCACAGATTAATCAAACTCCTACCTTATGCTCAGACCTGTTTGGCATGCTCCTTTCTAACTCATCCTGAATTCTTTCCCATGGCTTCAGAGCTTCAGCATTGTCTGGTTTCAAAACCCCTTCAGCTTTCTCTCAGCCACATGCAGAACTCCATGGGGAACTATAGAAAATTGCAAAATTAAAAAAAAAAGTCAACCCTGAACTTAAGGTCTTTAACATAGTGTGACAGTGCTGGAGGCCTCGGAAAGAGGTTTTTTGTTTCTGCATATTCTTGCAGCTTGAGAAAGTGGGATTTCCTAGAGGAGATCTGGATTCTTCTATACCAAACAGGCTTGTGATGGGGTGTCTTGGTGGAAAGGGCAGTTGGATGTAGCAGAGCTTCCTTAGTCTTCCAAGCCAGTATGTACTAAGGTCAGTTGCATTTTGATTCCCTGGGGGCCAAGTGTACAAAAACAAAACTCAAAAACGTATGAAAAGGAACTGATCAAAACAACTGCACACTATTAAAACAGTTGGTAGTGGAGTGGACAAATGTGCTAAACTGAATCTAGAGTTAGCAGAGAAGGTTGTGATTAGATAGGGGAATTTTTCTTTTTTCTTTTTTTTAAGATTTTATTTATTTATTTGACAGAGAAAGACAAGCGAGAGAGGGAACACAAGCAGGGGAAGTGGGAGAGGGAGAAGCAGACTTCCCGCACAGCAGGGAGCCCGATGTAGGGCTCGATCCCAGGACCCTGGGATCATGACCTGAGCCCAAGGCAGAGGCTTAACGACTGACCCACTCGGGCGCCCCTAGGGGAATTTTTCTGAAGGAGATATATTTGAGTTGAATTTTCCAGGGAGGACAGAAACTTCAGATTAATGGAAAGGAGAGCATTTATATATGTTAGTAATGTTTACTGGGCCTTTACTATATGTGGCAGGCAGAATAATGGCTCCCCAAAGAGGTCCGCGTCTTAATCCCTGAAACCTGTAAATATGTCATACATCACAAAGGGATGTTGCAGATGTGATTAAGGTTAAGACCTTAAGATGGAAGAGTATTCAGGATTATATGGTTGGGTTCAAACTAATCACAGGGGTAATTAAGAGCAGAGAATCTTTGATGGCCTAGGTCAAACTCAGAGAGAGATGTGACTACAGAAAACTGGTCAGAGAGATGCAGTGTCGCTGACTTTGAAGACAGAGGAAGGGGGCCATGAATCATGAAATCTGGTAGCCTTTATAAGCTGGAAAAGGTAAGGAAATGAATTCTCTGGAAAGGAACACAGTCATGCTGACACCTTGATTTTAGCCCGGTGAGACCCTTGTTGGACTTCTAACCTATAGAACTGTAAGATAATAAACTTGAGTGTTTTAAGGTACTAAGTTTGTGGTAATTTGTTACAGCCACAATAGAAAACTAATATAATATGAGATAGGGATATGAGGTTTAGACATTACAATTTTGGTCATTTACAGATGGGGAAACTGAAATAGATCCTAGGTTCTTGCTCAGTGTCACTCAGCTCTGAAGTGAAGGAGCAGGGAATTAAATTGACGATACCTGTCTCCAGAGCTCATGCAATACCACCTACCAGGAATTTTTGTGAGGAGGAGGATGGAGATAAGCTTCTAGTAAAAGCTCACTGAAGGGGGTGAGTTACACAGCTGGATAGCAAAGAGCTTGGTTCACTCAAAGGGGAGTTCAAAACCTTGGGTTAATGGGGACCGGAAAATAGTTGTCCCTCAGGTTTAGGTTTGCACTCCCTGATTATCTTCCTCAGTCACTGCTTCATGACAAACTGGTTTACTCAATGTCTCACAACAAGTCATTAAACAGGACTCTCCTACACTTGTACTTTTCCGAAGCCACCCCTCCTCTTTCCCATCTGTCTGATGCCTGCTCCTCTCAAGAGCTTCCACCCCTCCTCATCCCAGCTACAGCCCCTGGAAGGCACTTGGGTTCAAGGATTTCGAGAACTAAGGCATGAAATCACACCTTGCTCTGGACCTCTCACGTATCTTTGCCATTAAGTGTCATAGTTTTTCGTCATTTAATTTTCCTCGTGCTTATGACTTATTTCCAAGGTGACTGGCCACTGTGAACTTCCTGCAGGCAGAGACATGAATGCACCCGAGCCGTAGTCATGGTCGTCAGCTGGGATCTTCTTGGTACATTCCTAAAATAAATCTTACTCCCACACACAATTTTGATTTTCTGGAGTGGACATTTTCTTTTCTCTGACTCTCTACCTCCCAGTGTACATTAGGCCTCCTTGTTAAATGTTCCTGTAGCTTTTACTACAGATGGAAGGTGATTATTTCATTGTCGACCTGCCTCATTAGTAAGGTATCTTGAGCGCGTTAGCAGAGAGTCTGGCACACAGAATACAAGAAGGATACACGGTAAAGCCAGGCCAGTCACTAGGCCAGTCACTAGATAGCAATTAGGGGCAAGTAGAGGGGGAGAGCGGAAGGCGATGCGTCTTCACTCCTCGCCTCGGGCCGGCAGCACCCTGCGCTCTGACAGGTGCTGGAGCTGAGACCTGGGTCCGGTCGCGTGCCCGCATGCTGCCTCCCGCACCCTCCGCGCGCCCCCGCGCTGTCTCCGCGCTCGCCCCGCCCCCCGCCCCGCCCCCTTGCGCGCGCGCCTCAGGGTGCTCGCCCCCGCTGTCCGCGCGGCGCCGCGCCTCACTGGCTCCTCAGCTTCCAGCCAAGATGGCGGAGAATGGCGATGGTCTGGGCACGGTCCCGGAGCATGAACGGATATTGCAGGAGATTGAGAGCACCGACACCGCCTGCGTGGGCCCCACTCTCCGGTAAAGCTTTCATCCCCCGGGGGCCTCGGGCTGCCGCCGCTGGCTGCTCATCAGGAGCCGGGCGGGGCGTCCGCCACCGGCCGCGCGCCGGGCGTACCGACAGGTGGTGCGCGCGGAGGCGGGCGGGGGCGCTCCGGGGCGGCGGGCCGAGACCTGGGCCGGGCCCGGGCGGGGAGGGGCGGAACGGGCGGCTGCACCTGTAGGCACGGCCCGCCTCAGCCCCGGGAGCTGTCACCGCGCAGCCTGTGGGTGTGGCCGCCGCCGCCGCTCCGCTGACCCCGGGGTCCGCGGCGCCGCCCAGCCCTGGCGGCCTGGGGTCCCGGGGACGCGCCTTGGGCCTCCCGCGCTCCCGGCGGGGCTGAGGGCGGCTGTGCTGGGGCGAAGGTTAACTGCCAGCAGCCGGCGTGACTGAGATTAGGAGGCGCCCGCAGGTGGAAACCCTGGCGCGCAGGGCTGCGACGGGCGTGGGAGAATTGAAATTGAGCGGGAGTCGGCGGCACCATTATCCCCCCGCGCGGCCGGAGTGGGCGAGAAGGGAGCGTAGGCTAGCGGGGAGGAGCTGATGCTCAGGAGCGCGCTAATGTGACCTAGCGCTCCCCCGGCGCGCCTTCTGGAGTCCGGGAAGCTTTTACTTATTTACGAACGTTTCATTAATTTTGCATTAACTTTCCCGTTTATTTTAAAAAGGATCTCCACCCTTTAAAAATAGTACTAGGTAATGAATATTCCAGACTGAATACCTGCTGGTCTAATAATAGAATATTAGCTGGGCACTGTTGTGATCCATTAGATGAGGTTAGGCATTCTCATCAAGAATACGTGCCTTTTGGGGCGCCTGGGTGGTTCAGATGGTTGTACGTCTGTCTGCCTTTGGCTCAGGTCGAGATATCCAGGTTCTGGAATCGAGCTCCACATCGGGCTCTCGGCTCAGCGGGGAGTCTGCTTCTCCCTTTCCCCTGCCTCTCCCCCTGCTGTGCTCTGTCTCTGTCTCTCTCTCAAATGAATAAATAAAAAAACTAAAAAAAAAAAAAAAAAAAAAGAATAAGTGCCTTTTAGGGGCGCCTGGCTGGCTCAGTGGGAAGAGCATGCGACTCTCCCTCTCGGTGTCATGAGTTCGAGTCCTCCGCTGGGTGCAGAGATTATTTACAAATAAATAAACTTAAAAAAAGTGCCTTTTAAATGTAAAGTTTCAGCTTTCGTAACAATGATATTGAATTTTTTTTTAAAAGATTTTATTTATTTATTTGAAAGAAAGAGACACAGCGAGAGAGGGAACACAAGCAGGGGGAGTGGGAGAGGAAGCAGGCTTCCCGTGGAGCAGGGAGCCCGATGTGGGGCTCGATCCCAGGACCCTGGGATCACGACCTGAGCCACCCAGGCGCCCGGATATTGAATTTTTTATTCACCTATGGAAGTTAGGAGTGATTGTGCTTTAACATTATTATTTTCTTCAGGATACACTTCCTAGAAATGAAGTGCTGTATTTTTGTGGACCTGTGGATGCAGTATGAAGTGAAACTATTTCAAATTATAACGTAAATCCACCTTGCCCTGAGAGTCCGGAATGTTTTGCCCAAGTCCTACCGCTGAAGTGTGCAGTCACGGAAAAAATCATTTAAGTTCTCTGAACCTCAATTTTCTTACTCCTGTACTTGGGTAGGGGGTGGGTATTTAGATGCCCAGGACATTAGAGGCCTTGCCTATCTGTTCACTGCTGTATCCCTAACACCAAGCATGTGGTAGGCACCTGATAAGTTTTTTTGTCACATGAAGTTCTTGCTGTGATATGGTAAGAGTAATTAGTACATTTCCTTAATTTTCCAACATAATAATTTCTTTTCATAAAACTCTGGTCATTTGGTAATGAAAGTAGAAATCATAGATTAAAAGGAAGCTTTGTTTTCCTGACTGCAGGGTATGTGGTATAGTTATCAGAACAGCCAATTTTTGAAAATAGTATGGGTTATTAGGGAGATACTTCCTCTTGGGGAAAAATGCTAGGCACTATCTTTGAAAAGAGATGACATTAACTTAGAAGGAAGTTTTGAAATATATTGAGAGACTTTTGTGACACAAATAGAATATATGTATTCACAGTGTTATTCTGTTCTCTTTTGCTGGGCAATTGTGTCACCTCCTCACTTTGTTGAAACCCACGCTGTTTTCTTTGGCCAACTCCAGTGACTCATACTTATCCTATATATACACTTGTCATCTCATTTACAAGCAGACTGTCTACACACACATAGAAGGCACTACTAGCAGGCCTTTCTCTTGAATAGTGTTTAAGCTATTACTGTTTTTTACCTAGGTTTCACTAAGTGCTAATATTAAAATTTTAAAAACCCTTTTATTGGAAAATAAAAAGTAGAATAATGCAATGAACCATTATGAAGCCATAATCTTGCTTCAGTTCAACCCCCAGCCAGTGCCATTCGATCTGCTCCCCTATCCATTCTCCCTCACCCTGCATTATTTTGAAGCAAATCCCAGACATCAATTCATCTGTAAATATTTTAGTATTATGATTAATTTTTGTTACTTCCCAGTTATCTTTTACCTGGCCTGTTGGCTTACGATGTTGTTCTTATTTTTTTTCTCAGTGGGAGACTTTTTCAGCCTCATCTTTCCCTGATTTACTTTTATTCCTGATGATTAAGTGAGAAGCATGTTACGCATTTTTCACAGGGGCTGGCATACAGTATGGTTCTTCGATCACAGTGGAATTAGATTAGGAGTCAGTAATAGAAAACTGGAGAATACCCAAATAGTTGGGCCCTGAATAACACACATCTAAATAATCCATGGGTGAAAGAAGAAACCAAAAGAGAAGTTAGAAAGTGTTTTTGAACTGAATAAAATGAAAACACATTAGAATTTGTGGGATACAGCTAAAATAATAATTAGAGATTTATAGCACTAAACATCTTTACTGGGAAAGAATGGTTTCAAATCAGTGACCTCAGCTTCTAATTTAAGAAACTAGGAAAAGAAGAGCAAATGAAACCCAACAGAGCCAAAGAAAGGAGCTGATAGATAAAGGAGATGATAAAGGTTGGAGTGGAAATCAATGAAATAGAAAATAGAAAAACAGAAAGTCAGTGAAATGAAAACCTGGTTCTTTGAGATCTGTAAAATTGATAAACCTCTAAGAGAAAGAAAGGGAGAAGATGCCAATTATCAGGAATTACTAATTCCTTTTTTTTTCTTTAAGATTTTTACTTCTTTATTTGACAGACAGCGAGAGAGGGAACACAAACAGGGGGAGTGGGAGAGGGAGAAGCAGATTCCCTGCTGAGCAGGGACCCCGATGTGGGGCTCGATCCCAGGACCCTGGGATCATGACCTGAGCTGAAGGCAGACGCTTAGCGACTGAGCCACCCAGGCACCCCAGGAATTACCAATTCTTGATACTGTATCAGAATGAGAGAGGTAACATCACTGCAGATTCTGTTGATATTAAAAGAATATTACAAATAATTTCATGCCAATACATTTGACAACTTAGAAGAAATGGACAAATTCCTTGAAAGATACAAACTATCACAGAAGATAATTTCTCCAAATTGGTCTTTAGATTTGGATGGTCTCAGTCAGAATCCCAGCAGAAGGTTTTTTGTAGAAATTGACAAGCTGATTCAAAAGTTCATATGGAAATGTATAGGACCTAGAAGACTCAAACTGACTTGGGAAAAGATGAACAGAGCTGGAGGACTTACACTACCTATTTTAAGGTTTATTTATAAAGCTATAGTAACCAAGCCAGTGCGGTATTAGCATCAAGATAAACAAATAGATCAGTGAAACTGAATAAGAGAGTCTGTAAATAGATTCACACATATGGTCAATTAATTTTTGACAGAGGTACAAAGGCAGTTCATTAGAAAAGGATAAACTTTTTAAATAATGGTGAAACAGTCGGATATCCGTATGCAAAATAATGAACTTTGATCTATGCACCATATTTAAATAGTAACCCAAAGTGGATCATAAACCTAAATATAAAATGCAAAACTATAAACTCTTAGAAACCATTGGAAAAAATCTTTGTGACTTTGGTTAGGCAAAGATTTCTTATATACTATTCCAAAAGCATAATACATAAAAGAAAAAAATGATAAGTTGGAGCTCAACATTGAGAACACGTGGTATTCAAAGATACTATTAAGGGAATGAGAAGTCATGGACAGAAAATGTCTGAAAATCACGTATCTCATTAAAAAATGTTGTGTCCAGGGCTCCTGGGTGGCTCAGTTGGTTAAGCGACCGCTTTCGGCTCAGGTCATGATCCTGGAGTCCCAGGATCGAGTCCCACATTGGGCTCCCTGCTTGGCAGGGAGTCTGCTTCTCCCTCTGACCCTCCTCCCTCTCATGCTCTCTGTCTCTCATTCTCTCTCTCTCAAATAAATAAAATAAAATCTTTAAAAAAAAAAAAAAGTTGTGTCCAAATTGTATAAAAGAAATCTTTAAGACCAGATAAGAAAGCAAACAATCCAATTAAAAAATGGGTAAGTGATTTAAATAGATACTTCACAAAAGAAGGTACACACAGGGCAAATAATCACATGAAAAGATGGGTAAGGACATTAGTCATTAGAGAAATGTAAACTAAAACTTCAGCATTGAATCATGCTATTGGAATGTCTAAAATTAAAAAGACTGACCATACCATGTATTGGTGAGGTGGGACACTGGCACTCTCCTGCGCTGCTAGGGGAA